ACCCCCGCAAAGCTCCTGGCCCGGACCACGTGTCTCCGGCCACTCTGAGACACTGCGCCAGTGAGCTTACTCCTGTGTTCACGGACATTTTCAACTCCTCTCTGCAGTCCTGCCATGTCCCGGCCTGCTTCAAATCCTCCATCATTGTCCCCGTCCCGAAGAAGCCCAGGATCACAGGACTCAATGACTACAGACCTGTAGCACTTACGTCTGTCGTCATGAAGTCATTTGAACGCCTGGTTCTCTCCCATCTCAAGTCCCTCACCTCCCCCCTCCTGGACCCCCGCAGTTCGCCTACAGAGCCAACAGATCTGTAGACGACGCCATTAACCTGGCCCTCCACCACATCCTACAGCACCTGGACTCCCCGGGGACCTACGCCAGGGTCCTGTTCGTGGACTTCAGCTCTGCCTTCAACACAATCCTGCCATCCCTGCTCCAGGACAAGCTCTCCCAGCTCAACGTGCCCGATTCCACCTGCAGGTGGATCACTGACTTCCTGTCGGACAGGAAGCAGCGAGTGCGTCTGGGGAAGAATGTCTCGGACTCTCGGATTATAAATACAGGAGCCCCACAGGGCTGTGTTCTTTCTCCCCTGCTCTTCTCCCTGTACACCAACCACTGCACCTCCAGCCACGACTCCGTGAAGCTGATCAAGTTCGCGGACAACACCACCCTCATTGGACTCATCTCCAACAACGATGAGTCCGCCTACAGGAGGGAGGTGGACCGGCTGGTGTCCTGGTGCAGTGGTAACAACCTGGAGCTGAACGCCCAGAAGACAGTGGAGATGATTGTGGACTTCAGGAAGAGCACTGTCCCCCCGCCCCCACCCTCCGTGATGGACTCCCCCATCACCTCTGTGGAGTCCTTCCGTTTCCTGGGCACCACCATCACCCAGGACCTCAAGTGGGAGCCGACCATCAGCTCCCTCATCAAGAAGGCCCAGCAGAGGATGTACTTCCTGCGGCAGCTCAGGAAAGCCAAGCTGCCTGCACAGATGTTGGTGCAGTTCTACACGGCCATCATCGAGTCCATCCTCACCTCCTCCATCACCGTGTGGTTCGCTGGAGCCACAGTCAGGGACAAACAGAGACTACAGCGCATTGTGCGCTCTGCAGAGGAAGTGATCGGCCGCAGCCTTCCATCGCTGCAGGACCTGTACGTCGCCCGAGCTCGAGGCCGGGCTGGTCGTATCACAGCCGACCCCTCTCACCCTGCACATGGACTATTCCAACCACTCCCCTCAGGCAGGAGGCTGCGGTCCATCAGGACTAGAACCTCCCGCCACAAGAACAGTTTCTTCCCCCTCTGCTGTTGGACTCTTGAACACTTCTTAACCTGTCCCCCCGCCCTTTATAAAGTCACTTTACTGCCCATCATACGTCACTTTACTTCACTGTACTGCTGTCACCTTACATTGTGTGCACCATGTGCACTTGTATATTGTAAATAGTAACTGTAACTCTATTTTAAATTTAAATTTATTCTTTAGAAGTGTTTTTTATTCTTATTTTTATTATCTCTTTTTGACTGTTGCACTGAGCCAAAGCAATTTCCAAGTCTGTGACCTCCCGTTACTTACGTTGGCAATAAAAATGATTCTGATTCTGATTCTGATTCTGGTTGTTTCCTTTTAAAACACTTACAAATGAGTAAACTTCAATATATCATAAATGCATTTAACAATTCTCTCCATGGGGTTTAAAGTGTTGAAATATTATTGACCTATAACCCTGAACAAAGGGAGAGGAGGGATAATTGTAAAACAGAGAGTTGTAATGTCATGCCTTTGACCAATCAGAGACCAGATAAGAGTAATATGATCGGATCTCTCTGTACTTCCTTCTCTGATCATTCACAGCAAAGTCATGGTGGTAACTTGATGCATAATGATTTTTTTTCTTCCTCTGTGTACTGGGTGCAGCTCTGACTGCCAACCCCCCCGACCCAGAAATTGATTAAGGGGAAGAAAATGGATGGATGGATGGAGTTTTTTTTCTTAATTCTTAATCTTAAATTAACTATTGGGTGAATCCTGTGTCATTTGTAAATCTAAATGACTAAAACAAGTAAGGAGTTTCTTTCTTCTTACTTGTTTTAGTCATTTAGATTTACAAATGTCACAAGATTCACCCAATAGTTCATTTAAGATTCTTCAGCAAACTCAAACTATATGTGACAAACCTGATTTTACAAGTCCTCTTTAGTCGCCATGACCTCCACACTTAGAGCCTGAGGTTGACCTGCTCACCTGCAGTAATAGCAGCTTGAGGCCTGCAGATGTTTTGGCTGCAGCCTCGGGGGTCCTGCAGAGACACTTTATTGAAACCTAAAGTAGACCAGGACTTAAAGTGATTGTCTGCAGTTTGTCAAAGAGAGAGAGAGAGGTACTTGATTTAAAAAAACCACGCAAGCTCCCTCCCCCTTCCTTTCTGATTGGTCTTCACCTATGTTTCCGTAACACATTATACATAGACATTATTAATACACATGCACGGAGGTTTTCAGAATTATTTGTTAACATTTTCAGGAAAAAAATATTTTTTTAATGCACAAAAAAAGCAATCGCGGCAAACCAGGAAGTGCTATTATCATGAATTGCACATTATAGGACACATCTGCAGAGGATCTGATTATGGATATAGGTTCAGTATATACATAAGTACCTCAGCGCGGATGTTCAGAATTCTTTGTTCAGTTTTCATGAAGTTCCAGAGCCTAATAGAGGCTTGATTCGGAGGCTCCGCAAAAACAAACAACTGAGCATGCGCGCAGCTGCGAGCATCAGCGCTGATGATTGACAGCCCTTGGCATGACCCGATTGGTTAACGTGGACGGCATCGTGGATTCTGAGCTACAGCTAAGAGAAGGGAAGGCGGGACTTACCTGTAATATTAGAATTAATAAAATGACTTTTAACATTTAAGGCCAGAAGGTCAATTTACTACAATTCTTAAAATTTGTACTTAATTCAGAGTTACGTACATACTATCACTTTAACACAAGGGCTCAATTTAGAACAAAATAGTGCAACATCTTTCATCCCCTTTCAGAGAGAGTCCGTTCTGTGCCAACCTCTTTAGTAAGACACATGAATGTTTATGTAATTTTCTGTCTATGTGGTATTTATTGAACTACAGCTGTTTACATTCCTATGAAATCATAAAGCAGTACACCTTCTTCATTTGGACCCAGTAGGGTGCTAATATTATAGGTTCTATATCACTATACGTTGAGATTTACCCCCACCAGTACTTTATTAACTCGGAATTTGCTTGTCCAGAACTGGGCAGCTGAAAAAAAGGGGAAAAAAATATATATAGAGAAGAAAGAAAGTCACTGCATGTCAATCTGCTGTTACTCAGAATAAACCAAATTGATGTTAATACTACGACTATGTTTAATACTAACCTTAACTGGACCAATTCTGGTTCACTTGGGTAAAAAATTCTTAAATTGTGGATGTTAAACAACTCAACATAGCCACTATAGTCCGTTTGTTTACATATTGTGAAACAGACCCCAAGGGAACCAGACTTGGTCCAGTTAAAGTGAACCAAACCAACATGTGTGAACGTGCCCTACATGACGGACAGACAAATAAATCACAGATGACGTTTATTACAGAGGTAGTGTTAAAAAGTTTGCTGACACTAAAAAATAAATATTTCTTCGTTGAAACATTGAAAGTCATGCAGAAAATATGACACCGTTACTTTGAAGAATTGGAAACAATGCTGTGCTCTGCAGCTAAAGTTTGTGTGACATTTGGGAGCGGTCGGACAGGCCGTTACCTGCACACATCCTCCAGCAGTGAATGGCAAAGATCATCAATGTTTACACTTGTTGAGCAAAAATATTGGACATAAACCACATCTAGATATGCTGTGGGCTGTAGGAAGCATAAAGACAAACACAAGCAGTGCCACAGAGTTACCTTTTGGAGATTTATTGAATTCCCAGGGCCGGAACTAACCAATAAGCCCCCAAGGTCACAAGAGGGCCCCCAAGAATGTTACACTGCATAACAACTGAATAACTATAAAACTAAATGTAATTAACACAAAAATGACCTATATTCAAATCAAAAAGTCCGATATTCAGATTTTTTCTAAAAACAATCAAAAAATAATAAATTCTACATCTAACTGGATGCATAATGATTTTTTTCTTCCTCTGTGTATTGGGTGCAGCTCTGACTGCCACCCCCCCGACCCGGAAATTGATTAAGGGGAAGAAAATGGATGGATGGATGGAGTTTTTTTCTGAATTCTTAATCTTAAAATAACTATTGTGTGAATCCTGTGACATTTGTAAATGACTAAAACAAGTAACGAGTTTTTTTCTTCTTACTTTTTTGTCATTTAGATTTACAAATGTCTCAGGATTCACCCACTAGTTAATTTAAGATTCTTCAGCAAACTTAAACTATATGTGACAATCCTGTTTTTACAAGTTCTCTTTTAAAATCTTGTAATATCAAGTCCGATTGTCAGATTTTTTCTAAAAACAATAAAAAAAAAAAAAAAAAAAAAAAAATCTACATAACATACTACAATGCTTGTTATAATCATCTTGAACTTATCTATTGACACCACAAATTCTTTAAAAGGAAGATAACATATACAATTATTGTTATCTCCCTTCATTAAGACACTCAAAGTCACTGTTCCACTTTGTCAGAAATGTTAGCTGGCCCCCATACGTGAGTGGAGGGGGCTGTGGAAGGGGGCCCCTGAAACACAACTTTTCTTAGGGCCCCCTGAAAACTGGAACCGGCACTGTGAACTCCAGAAGGCATGTTTTGCTTTAGTCAAAAATGTGCCTCAGCTTTTCTGACCCTGTAAATCTTCGAGGCTTTAACAGTTTTGTGCAACCAGATGTCTGCCATAGGTCTGTGTATGTCAAAACGTTTGCTCACAACTTATATTTAGAATGGTCTATACATTCATCACTTTCACTGTATGTTAGTAAGAGGTCGACCTTTGTGTCTACAGGGCGATGTTTGTCTACGATGGAATCAGCAACAAGCTCCGACTGGCTGACTCAGGAGGTAAGGAGATGTGAACTGTTACAATGCAATTTTTCAAACACGAGATTCTTGCCGGAGAATAAATACAGCGTCTGGCAAAAGTGTTTCAGCTACAACTCTTGCACATTGTAGCTGAACATGCTGTTACGGCCACAAATATAGGGATTTTTTTTTTTTTTTACTGAAAGACAATTATGGTGTACAACCAACTGAAATGTGCTGTTTATTGAAAATTGCTCTGATGACTGCTTAATGCTCATATCTTGACCTTATAGTTAAACAGCTGTTCGTAGATAGCCTTGGAGCTATATTCAGAGTGCATTTCTCACTAAACAGCATCAGAGAGGTCAGGGATGAAGTTTTGGAGAAGTTTAAAGCATGATTAACTTTTCAAAAACATTTACCAAGTTTTGAACATCTCACGGAGCACAGTTTTATCTATGGAGCTATTATTGTTTCAATAATATTTGTGTGTGCGTAAACAGATTTGTGTGTGCGTAAAAAGATTTATGCATGCGTAACCAGATTTGTGTGTGTGTAAAAGAAATATTTGTGCGTGTGTAAATAGATTTGTATGTACGTATCAAGATCTGTGTGAGCGTAAAAAGATTTGTGTGTGCGTAAAAGATTTGTGTGTGCGTAGAAAGATTTGTGTGTGTGTAAAAAAAAGGACGTTTTTTTTTACTGTACACAAATCTTTTGACGCAGAGTCAAATCTTTTTAAGATTTGTGTGTAAAAAAAAATTGTGTGTAAAACGTCCTTTTTTTTTTACACACACACAAATCTTTCTACGCACACACAAATCCTTTTACGCACACACAAATCTGTTTACGCACACACAAATATTGTTGAAACAATAATAGCTCCATATTGATCCATCATCTGGGAGTGTAAACAGTATGGCATAACTGCAACTAACTACCAATACTTGGCTCTCAAACAAGGACAACACTGATCACAGATGTAGACATGAGGCCAGTGGTTACTCTGGAGGAGCTGCACACATCCACAGCTCATTTGGGGGAATCTGTATATGGGGAAATAGGTTTGTTCGTAAAGGATGAGTGGTAAATAGAATATAGCCGCAAGAAGCAATGCGTGGGACACATCAAACATGCAGAAGATGGTGCTGTAGTCAGATGAGACTAGAATGGAACCGTTTGGCTTGAATGCAAAATGTTATGTATGACTCTCTCACTAACACTAATCATCATGTATGATTTTGCTTTCAGTTCACATTTGTCTGTGGTATTTTTGTAAGATAAGATAAGATAAGATAAGATAGACCTTATTGATCTCACACTGGAGAAATTTATAATATGGAGAAATACAAAATATTTATATTTCAACAATATTTCAAGCTGTACAAAGACTTTCACAAAGCACTTTATAGCTTTTACATGGAATACCAAATTCAGCATTGCATCAAATCTATCATGTTTTTTATTTGTTCACCCAGCGGGAGGTGTGGCAGAGCTGGCATCCAAGTTCCACGTGTCCAAGCCCCAGTATGGACTTTGCAGAATTGGGACTGCTGCAGAGAGCCCCAGGACAGCTATGATCATCTGGGTGAGTACAGTACTTATTGGACTACTATGCACACCAGTATGTAAACCCCATCACCTAATATTGAAAATAAAGTACTTTTTTCCCACACAAAGACCACACTTGAATATAAGCCGCAGGTTTTCATGTTGTGATGTAACACTTAACCGAAACAAAGCTGATAGATGACTGCTTTAACAGATTATAAGGTGTTTCAATGCACTGTTAAAAGATGTTCTCTTGTAAATACAAATTTGACAATAAACGTGTGTCCCATCGCTACTAAAACTTGAGTCAAAAAAGTATCGCCGCCTTCGCTCAGGCGATTCCAACCTCCTCACCCCCATCACCTGCACTAACTGCCGGACCTTGGGGGACAGAGCCTTTGCCATTGCCGCCCCAACCCTCTGGAACTCACTCCCACTGCCCATTAGAAACTCTGACTCACTACCAAACTTTAAATCAGTACTCCAAACCCATCTTTTCAAACAAGCTTTTCCGTATTCCCCATGTGAACCGTCTTTGAGTGTCCAAAAAAGCGCTATACAAGTTTGATGTATTATTATTGTTATTATTATAAACTCTGCTTGGACAGCCCTATTCACATGAAAACAAGTTCTATGTATTTCCCTTACACTTCCCCATATCAGCTTCTATTCACATAACCACACCAGGAAGCAGGATGGCTGTGCTATGTCAGGTGCTCTGTCCAAATCCCTTCCCACTGGAGCGGTCAAATTAAAAATATTGTGTCTTATAGTTCAGCAAGTACTGTATTTACAAGTTTAAAGTACTTCTTCTTCAAAATTCAGTTTTGGTGATTATGGAAAGAGGATAAAGACATATACATTTGAAGCAGATTTCTTTGTCATCAGTTGTAAACCACATTTACAAGGCAGTTGTCTGTAGCGTCACACAGAGCCTGAGGTTGACCTGCTCACCTGGAGTAATAGCAGCTTGAGGCCTGCAGATGTTTCGGTGTCGTGAAGCATCTTTCATCCACTTTCAGAGAGAAGCTGTTTTGCACCAACCTCTTTAGTCGCACACTGACTACAGAGTGACAGACAGACAGGTTGAATGAGCATGATTGCATGAACAGGAATGTTTATGCAGTCGTCTCTCAATCTTGTATTTATTGAATCACAGCTGTTTCTATTTTTATAATAGGATAATAATAATAACACTGGCTCAGTGGCTTGCAGCTTGTTATGGAATTCCACTATTCATGTATGGTAGTGAACTTTTAAATTCAATTAACAATGGAAAACATAAATAGAGAAAAGGAATTGACTTCCTGTAGATATGCTGTTATTTCCACAGGTGAAGTACTGAGAATACTACTACATTTAATAAGTCACTTTAACTGACATTTTAAAATATGGCTTTGCACACCTATGTAATTATATTTAATGTTTATTTTTCTACACATTTGCCAATTCTTATCCTGGGTTTGTAATTTATTGAGGTTTAAAATGTTCCTTTCTGTTTTCCAAATGATGAAACTACACTGGTGATACCTTGCACACAATATAAGGCAAATACTACACAGGAATTATTGATTGACAAAGTACAAAAACATCCTTATATAACAAAACATTATTTTCTATTGACATTTTGACGACATTTTGGATGTGACCATAACATTTCCTTTCAACACAAACCGATGATTAGTGTAACAACTATAATTTACAAAATGAAGGTTCCCACCAAAAGAGGTCCAAGTTAGAAAATCATAAAGGCCTGTCACTTGCAGCAACACCCCATGTATTTGTTAGACCTTTTCAGTTTTGGCTGCTATTGTCTTGTCTTGAGATTGGTATGGCATGAATGTAGGTGTCCTCTTCCTGTGTTTGTCCTCAGATGGGTCAAAAAGTGGACGACTTCCAAAGAACAGAATGTGCCAGCCACGTCCCAGCAATCAAAAACTTCTTCAAGGTACGCCATCTCCCTCCCTCTAGACTACAGTACAATGTCTATATTTTGATTCAGTTGAAGTAGGGTTTTTTGAATATCTTGCATCTTTCATCATCCCCACACTGAGGCACTCTATATTTACCCACACTGGTTTACTTTGCATTGTTGTGAGAACTTCCTGTGCTCAGTTCACTTCCTGTCCCGTTTCTGTTTGTTCTGACAAGGATTTTAAAACTTGTGCTTTCTGCTGATATTCTTGATTATAAATAATGCAACACGTAAGAAAAAACTCTGCACCGGTGTGACTATATCTCATGTTTCCCACTATCAGACCATTGTGAATGAGGGGAGGGTTAAGCGACCCTTGAGTTGCTGGTTTCCATATAAAGGCATCACCCAGTCAACTGGCCAGGCATTTCTGGAATGTTTGTTGTTTTTTGTCCATGTTTTTGAAAGCGTGAGTCTGGGGAGTCTTGAGAGCTGTCTGGAAGATTCTTACTAACTCAGATGTGGTTGGTTCTCCTGGGTTTCAAATAGTGTTGAAGTAGATGAATGAGCAGTACGTTGATTTGAACAAACATGGAAAATTGCCTTCAATGCTTATTTTAGCCATAATGTATGTACAGTATGTATGTTGGGCACGGAATCACTTGGCCAAAAAAAACAGCCTGTCTATACATCATTTTCCCTAATTAGTCATAAATACGTTCACTATTTGTTCATTGCTTTTAATTAAATCAATCTGTATTTCCATGTTTTCCCCCCAAATAAAACTCCTTTTGAGAACTTATTAGTGAAGTACAGTATAACACATCTCAGTGGAAATTATATTCATACATCTAGTTTGGATTAAAAGTGTTGACAGTCACTAATGGGCTAAAAGACTGAAACCTTTTACTGTCAGCTTACTCTACTTTACAGACACGCGTCATATTTATTCTGTGGGGTTAAACCATTTTCACAACATCTCAACCATCACTTTAGCTTTTTTGTGCTCTGCCTGCCTACAAGTCGCAGCTGGCTGTGAAAGGTTTTGTTGAGGCGAGGCTGGGTGTGGAGACGGCATTGTTGGAATAAGTTATGAAAACCCAAATGTGAATACTTTTCCCACATTGTACATTTTGTGCTCATGTCGTGAGAAAACAAAACAATCTGAAGGGACAAAGTCTCACCACAGCGGGCTATCTGATAAAGATATCGAAATGTGTTTTCTGTAAACACAGTAAAGGTGATCAGGAAAACTATATCCACTATATCTTTTGATGACTAAACATTGTTTTTGAAGGGATATTTCTGGTGTACGTGTATACCATCGTTCTTTAATCTATTTACAAAACTTACAATATTGACCTCAATAGTCTGATAATATGGTCCCCTGTAGAGTAATCCTCCTTGTCCTCTTCCTTCCACCCATCCTTCACCCCCATTAGGTCGACCTATCATTGTGAAATTTCACCACTGAAAGTAGTGTCCTAGTTTAGAAATAGCACATCTAGCTAGCTTTTTGATCCCTACATATATGACCTGAGGTCTGGAGTGGTGATATGGGTACATCAAACAGACAATACTGGACTATAAATCAATCAATGAAAATAAAGGGAATTTTACATGATATCTGAAGTAGCAAACATAACAACATATTGCAGACTACTTTGACCCTCCGTGCTGATACTGAGGCGGTGACGGTACATGACTTATGGCTCCTTTTATCCCAGAGTGCTTTGTGCCTTGTGCCATTGTCAGTGTCGTCGCTCACCTGAACTGTGGTTCCTTGCAGTTTGAGAGTCCTGGTTCTGCATCAACAACATGTTAACTAACATGTAGAGTTTGTAGACGTTTCATGATGGGTTCACACATGTTTGAAAAGATTGTTGTAAATACAAATATTTGTACAATAGAGGTGCTTAAATCCGGCAAAACCTAAATGTATTGTCATATATAGTTCATTCAAGCATCTTTTTGGTTTTAAAACCTGGTGTGCTATGATATGACAATTATATTTAGGAGAAATGGTGGCTTTGAACAAAAACATTACTGTTTACAACAGATTACAACACATTTAAAAGTGTCTTTATCGAGAGCACAGGTCACGTATATTGAGCCTAGCCTGGCCTTAGCCGTAAACTTGGATGTGGTAAACTCAGATCCAACTGAGTCCTATATCTCTTTTTCTTCACAAATGTTTATGGGATATTGCTGTTTTATAGAGCACTTTGATTTTTCCTTGTGTATGAATTGTCTAAACATTTACTGATATTGACACTTAAAAGCACGTACTCTTTATAAAACTCATGTCCAAGTCAGTGGGGTAATTGACAGATTCTAAAAGCTCAACCAGGGACAGGAGTTGAAAATTAGCATTAGCTATACACTCTGTATGTGTCGCATCAGCTGCATTTTCATAATGTAACTATGTATGACTACATTGTCCCTGTCAAATAAACGAATAAATAAAAAAATAATACAGCAATACATACATCTCCTACCACTGCAGTGTCAGTGTAATGGTGATTTATTGAGGAAAACAAGCAAGAATTCCAAACCACTTTCTGTTTAAATTAGATGGTTGTGAATAAGTTGTCTAACCAAATCAGTAAAGTGTAATGCTTCTTTTGATATACAGTACCTTTAGTTGTAGTTACAGTTGGAGCTCAATTTCCCAAACATTGTCAAATAATGTTTAGTTGCACAACAGTTTTCTCTGGCCTGCCTCTGTTTCACATGTGTCAGATTTCAGCACTTTTTCCTTAACCACTCAAACCACCATGTCGCTCCCCTTGTGCCTAAGACTGGTTTTGTTCAGCATGTTTAAAACAGAGCTGTTGCACAATATTTTGGCCGTGAGCGTGCGTTACTCTCACACACTAAACGAAAACCAAAGGGACTTTAGATTTATGCCTGTTCTCTAGCCCATGATGTACTGTGTGTCTAAACGCACATATATTTGACTGTGTGCGCTTCAGGAAGTTCACGTGTTCCTCACAGCGGAGAGGCCTGAGGATGTTACAGAGGAGAGGATAAGGGCTGAGCTCAGTAAGGCCCAAAACAACTCTTCAACGCAGTGGCTGAGGAGGAGCTCGCAGTCGTCTATGGACAGGAAGGATATTGTGGTAGGCTTCATGTAACACCGCACATTTTCCACTAGAGGGAGACAATGCTTGTTTATTATTATGGCGTCAGTTCTCTCAAAATGTAATAAGATAAGATAAGGTAAGATAGACTTGATTGATCATACACCGGAGAAATTTAATATCAAGCTATGTTATGCCGAAGGAGAATAGAAAACGCAATGATGAGGGGCCTTATGGATTTGAATGAATACTGAACAATCATAATATTTGACCATAATTATGAACATTCATTTGATACTCAGTTGGAGTCTCAAATTAATGTTTTCATCATTAAATTATAGGCCTATTAGGCGACAGCTTAATACAATTACACAATGGCAGAAAGATTTATTTTAGTTTAATTTTACCATGGGTTCCTGACCAATGGAAGATTGGCTGAGGTTTTAATTTAAAGTGTAAATGTAAGAAAACACATAAACATCAACATTTTAAAATAGTAAAATGTCCAGATCAGTCAAAAACAACCAAATAAAAGTACAAATACACTAAATAAATAATCATTGTCATTAATGTCATTTTGGTTTGAAACAGGGCACGAATTACAGAAAAACAAATGCAGCGATGGAGATGCGTCTTGCAAACAGAGACTCCTTCTGGGCACGAGCAGAGGTAAATTATTGCCATGAGCGTTCTCACACTAATAAATATGTCATAAAGAGTCAATATTTTTGTAGCGTGAAGAAGAAGAGAGAAAAGAGGAGGAGAGGAAGAGGGCCGCAGAGGAGAGGCGCAGACTGGAGCGAGAGCGAGCTGTGAAAGAGAGACAAGAGGCGGAGGACAGAGAGAGGAAGATGGAGCAGAAGCTGCAGATGATAGAGGAGCAGAGGTAAGGACCACACTGTGCTTACACTGACCTCTAGTGGACAGAGATGGTAACACAGATGTCTCTTCACAGGAGGAAAGCAGCGGAGCAAGAAGAGGAAGAACGCAGGAAAGAGAAGTTCAAATGGGTGAGTTGTAAATGGTGACATACACACATGCAACACAAGAAGTAACTTGATAATAATAATAATACAATAATAATAAACAAAAGCAACAGGTTAATTTGGCAGGAAAAAAAAAATCTTTCCATCTTAATCTTTTGACGAACATCATTACTTGAAAGTAGAAAACCTTAACCTTAATTTTTTTGTTATACAATAATATACAATTTTCTCTCAATTGGACACAAGTGAAGCCACCGGAGGATGTCTTCACATTCTATCATAAAAAAAAACATGTACACAATTCCTAATTGTTTTATACTTTCTGAATATTTGAATTATAAAATCGCATATATGTACTGCACATATTTGTGTTGCAGTCTGTTTATACAGCAGTTAACAATCAATCAATTATTAGAATAGTTGTTGACTTTTTTTGCAATCAATATCTCTATTTCATCAACAGTGTCACAAATATGCTTCATGGACAGATATATTCTTGGATGTTAAGTTTTTGGTCTGATTTGTAATTCTAGGATTGGAACTTGGATCTTGTCTTTATGGCTTTGCCTAAATAATATTTAGTAATTTATACGTGCTCTTCATAACTAGATTATAGATTTTTGTTTTATGTGATGAAATCAGCAGTAGCATGTGAAATAGACAAAAGGTACAGTCCCAAAACTACTGTAAGCAATAGAACACCACTACAATTGATAACAAAAATAATTGAATAAACAAGAATGTCAGACATTTTCAAAAGAAAAGAAAGTAAGCCAAAATATAGGAGTTCAAGTAGAAATTCCTGTTCTTCAGTGCCACAAAGGTTAAGGAAGAAATTCTCCATATGGCTTTTTTAAATTGCTTATTTCTTTTTGATTGATTAATAATCAAAATATTGTTGTTGACATAGCCGATAGGAAAACCCAATAGCATTAAAGGAAGTGTTAGTAAAATTCCCACCTATATGAAGACGTCTACACTACAGCAGTTCCACAGTGATCTTGATGGACAAAGAACAGTAAAGCTCCACCACCCTTCTAATAACACAGGGCAAAGTGACACACAGTTTGTCTCGCTTAGTGGGCTTAAAACAACAGCACACATGACAACAGACGACAGCGCCTCAGACACCGTGTTATCTCCAATAGCGCGTGTGTAATCCGTGTTTACATCAGAACGAGTGCAGCGGTGTTTCCCGAGACTGGAGCCGTGACATGTGTTGTGTGTCTGTGCGCTGACAGGAGCAGCAGCAGAGGGAGCACGAGGACGAGATGAGAGCGCGCCTCAAAAGAAGCGAATCGATTGAGAAAGCAGCAGTAAGTCCGTGTCAGACAGACCTGTACAAAGTGCCACGCGTGTAGTGGAATTAGCGGTGTATCAAGGGAAACGGCCAGTTACGTTGAGTTGAGGTGGAAAAACTCAAGAGACTGTTGTCAAGTGAGTGAGTATACGTTTACAGAGCACAAGTGAAAACCGCATCACTCACGTCTCTATTTAACTCCATTGAACAAGACACGTGTGCTGTAATTGAGGTGTGAAATTCCACACTGTTTGGCATAACTGACTCGAACCTTTTTTCTACGATTATGCTGATATGTAACCATGTACACTGGATACTTCTGAGACACGGCCAGCATATACATAGATAGATAAATAGATACTTTATTAATCCGAGTAGGAGAAATTCAGGTGTCCAGTAGCAGCAAAAATAAAAAATAAAATTGAATTGGAAAACCCATGCCTATTATTAGAAATGTATGTATTTGGATCATATACAATACATCTGGAGACAGCATGGCCTAATCTCCTCATCTAAAGTTATGGATTCCGCTTGTGGATATGCACATGAGCTGCTGAAATGTGCTATTAGCTTTTCCTGTGTATGTGCTAAGCAGAGATTACACACCTGGAATTTCTGTTGTTATGACAGTCATGTGACCATGCAGCATGCTGGATCTGCAGTGGCAGCGACTAAACAGACCTGGTTAAGCTCGCCTTCTTATGGCCGTGATTGGATACTGCTCCCACTGTTTTTGTTCCATTACAGACGGTAAAAGTCTGTGCTGCTGCCGTGGAGCATGTTGTGGAAAATCAAATGCTCAAAGTAAATGTTGCATGATCGAACTAAAATGCTTTGTTATGACATCCCATTGAAGACAGGTCCTGTTTGGGGATTTAAAATGAAGCATGTGTTTGTGTGATTTAGGAGGCCGCAGCATTAGTGTCGCAGAGGACCATGAACCCTCGCGAATTCTTCAGACAGCTCTCCTCGTCTTCATCACAGAGTCCAACCAGTCCATCTCGCTCTGGTATGTGTGAAGAGCTTTAATGAGCAGACCACAATAATTACTACAATAACTTCTATTATGGTTAAAGCGGCAAACAAAGTAATTAGTCCACAATTGGTGGATACCAATTGTGCCTTAATGTATTTTCCATCATAAGTATAACTCAACTTTGAGAAACAAAATGAGACAAACAAAAGAATCTATTTGAAATTTAGGGAGGAGAATAAGGATTTAGTCAATAACAAAAGTCCATTTCAATACTTGTTACAGCACAGACTGGACACACCTTCTCATTCAAAGAGTTTTTGACTTTCACGATTATGAAGATTGTAGATTCACACTGAAGGCTTCAAAACTATGAATTAACTCATGTGGAATTATGTACGTTCATAAAAAAGTATGAAGCAACTGGAAATATGTCTTATATTCTGGGTTCTTCAAAGTAGCACCTTTTGCTCTGATTACTGCTTCACACTCTTGGCATTCTCTTGATGAGCTTCAAGAAGCAGTGATCTGAAATGGTTTTCCAACAGTCTTGAAGGAGTTCACAGAGATGCTTAGCACTTGTTGGCCCTTTCACCTTCACTCTGTGGTCCAGCACCAAAACCATCTGGATTGGGTTCAGGTCCAGTGACTGTGGAGGCCAGGTCATCTGGCCCAGCACCCACCACTCTCCTTATTGGTCAAACAGCCCTTACACAGCCTGGGTGTCAATCTACAGTCAATAGTCATGAAAAAAAAGGACACTCATTGAATGAGAAAGTGTGTCCAAACTTTTGGTCTGTACTGTATATACCCTGTGACATCTACCCTGGGCAATGACAGAGATCAAAAGTTTTCTGTGTAAGTCCTCACAAGGTTCTCACAGTCTGTTGTTGCTGTTATTTTGGCCCATTCCTCCATGCAGCTCACTTCTAGAGCAGAGATGTTTTTGTCACTGGGCAACACAAAGCTTCAACTCCTTCCAAAGACCTTCTATGGGTTTGAGATCTGGAGACAGGCTCGGCAACTCCGGTCCCTTGAAATGCTTTTTACAAAAAACACTCCTTTGTTGCCCGGCGGTGTGTTTGGGATTATTGTCGTGTGGAAAGACCCAGCCATGTCTTCAGGTTCAGTCTCACGATACATGACCCCATTCATTCTTTCCTTTACACGGATTTACACCCCCTAAACAAGATGTTTCCACCCCCATGCCCAGTAGCTATGATGGTCTTTGGATGTAGTGTTGGTGCCATATGAACCAACTCGGGCTCTGAGGAGCACAGGGACTGGACTTCTGTTAGTGCCAAGAGTCGGAACTAGACATGGGGAGGCTGCGTTTCAGATTCATGCAGCTAGAGTCTGGAACCGTCTTCCCGAGAGTGTGAGACAGGCGTCTACTCTAGCAGTTTTTAAAACTGAACTGAAAACAGTTCTTTTTAGCTGTGCATACAAGTGAATGATTTTACATTTGTTTTTATCTTTAATCTTTTTAATGCGCTATGATTATTTATGATTATTTATGATTGTAATCCCTTGTGTGATTTTAATTTTTTACGGTTTTTAACTACTTGTGTAATTTTATATATCTTGTGCTCTTAATCTGTCTTTTTATGTTTACTTAAATTCTAATGTTTGATGATTTATGCATGATGTTATATGGGTTGTGAGGCGCTTTGCGTTGCCTTGTGTAGGAAAGGCGCTCTATAAATAAACGTTGATTGATTGATTGATAGTGCTGTCTGAAGTTTGCTAGAGAGCACTTGGATAATCTAGAAGAGTGGGAGAATGTCCTATGGTCAGATGAAGAACTCCAATTAAACCGATCTATCTAGAATCTAGAGCTCAACACAGTTTGGTTAATCACCACAACATTTTGTGAGTCGTTTTAGACCAGCTATTTTAAAGAAAAGTGATGTATAGATAACAACCCTTGCTTATCCAATCAGCTCACTGAGCTCTTTCTTACCTTTACAAAAGTTAAAGAGTGTTCTAATAAGACAACATGATGGTGTGGTCTGATTTGTTCACAATATTTTGGATATTTGCTGACTGTAAGAACAAACAATAGTTTAATATGACCTTTATGTGATTTTATAAATTAATGACATTGATGGCCAATGCGTTCCCTCTACTCCTCAGGTAAACCCTTCAGACGTTACCAGCGCAGTCTGACCGACACGGCCTTCATCTTCTCTAAAGCCGAAGACAGCAGTGTGTCCTCTCCCCGAAGCCCACCTCTTGTGTCCCCTTTCTCCAGAGCTTCTCCTTCTCAATTCAATCGGGCTGCTTCCCCCCCCACCAGTCCAGTCTTTCACCCATCCACCTCCCCCCAGAGAACCCCCCTGTCCCCGCCGCTATCACCCCTACATCCTGCCCCAACAACCACCATGCCTCTGGCCAACATCCAGATGAGGGGAAGGGTCCGGTCGCCATCAGAGCCCTCTGCACCTCCAGCCTCGCCCACACTAATGCCGTCTTCAGTGGAGGAAGGGTCTGGATCTCCACCCAGTGTGACAGAGCAGAATACTTTCACTTTTGAATCAAAGCCTTCTCCACCAGACCAGCCAATATCAGGTGAGATTATGTTATGTTATGCTTTATTATTAACTAAATATTGCGATTCGGTTTACAATTTATGTTTTGGATGCATGTTTTAAGTGCACTTAAAACATGCCCAGAAGCAAACATTTGTCATATATACGGTATTTCTGACTATAAATATATGAATAATAATAATGAACATATTTTAACTGGGATGAACAACAGGGATAGAGGTTTTAGGATCATATTGGAAATTTGAAAATGAGTTAAAATGTATAGGATGTCTTTGGACAATAATATAGATTATGAATAAGGCCCTGTCCACACGAAGTCAAGCTCAGGCCTAAACGCAAAAATACTTTATCAATCCAGTGTATCGTCCATACGAGGCCGGCGTTTTGGGGGGGTGTAAACGAACATTTTTGAAACTAGGTCCCAGAGTGGAAAGATTTCAAAACTCCGTATATGCCGCTCCGTGGTTACTGCCTCTCCGCAATGTATCTGAGACGCTTGCGTCATCGCCCCGCCTCTTGTTAAAGCACGCATGCGCCGCACTCAGAAAATAATGACAACAACAATGGCTTGTTGGTTTTGTAATCCAGTGCGACCCGAAGCAACAGTTCAACCTCATCGTCCGTCCATACTAATGTAGTACCAGCTCGCCCACTCGCCATGTTGTCTGTTTACAAAATTCCGCGCATGCCCAGTTCCCGTCACGGAAGTTTGGGCTTGATCCCGTCATTGCGTCACAGCGCCACCAACAGGTCTGGCATAGTTTCACAGCGTTTTCAGGCGTATTGACTACATTCATATGGACGCACACATTTACTGAGCTAACTCCGTGTTTACAGAAAAAGTTTCTGAAATTATAAGCGTTTTGTCTTCGTGTGGATATAGCCTAATTGAGTCAGTAATTGAGTCAACATGACATGCATTTACCAGGAAAATCCTCGCATGAAAACTGCTGGGGCAAAAAATATATATAATGAGCTCTTGCTGAAAAGAGACATAACTGGATTTTTCCGATGGTGAATCATTTTCTAAGACCAAATCAAAATACTTGAATTGATAAGCGCAGATAATTCACTTACAAACTTAAAACTCTTCATGAATTTGTTTTCATTATAATTCCACTGCAAAATACTGCTGTATTTCTGAACAAAGCCCTTTCTTATCAGCTGCTGAGCTGGCCTCAGAAATCAGCTACAAAGTGCAGACTGTCCTTGTAGAAGAGGAGGAAGAGGAAGAGGAGGACGTGAAAGAAAAAGCCCAAACAGAACCACGGCCTGATCTGGTGGAGCAGCCGGCAGAAGCCGATGTGAGGAACATGGCACAAACATTAGAACTGCTGCAGAGTTCGATGGAGGAAGAGGTCACAGAAGAGAGAAATGGTCTGCCCCACACAGAAGCCGAGGAGACTGCAGCTGTGGAGGAGTGTGTCCCCACAGAAGAGGAAGAGCTTGAAGGGATGGAGACCAAGGACGCTAATGAGACACAGGCTGAAGTGAATCAGGCTCCTGAACACACACACCAGTCTGAGCAGGGAGAACGCAGAACTCCAGAGCAGAGCGAGGAGACCGTAAGTGAGGATGAGCCGGACCAACCGCAGACCCACCTCAGCTCTGAGTGCAATCAAACTGCTTTGCTTGCACAGCAGGAGGATGGCCCAGAGATCATAGGTATGTTGCTGCTAGATGCATTAAAGCAGGGTTACATAACTTTTCTAATCACATAAAAGTGAGAAAATCAATCACAATAGTTCCCCGCTCTGAATACATTAAGTAAGTGAGTGAGTAATCTTTGTTTATATTCAATGTCTATTGTGTGTATTTTTTATATGAGAAAGATTTTTATATTACATTTTCCTAGTTTATGACTTCCTGTTACTTACAAAGGCAATAAAACAATATTCAGATTCAGATAGCACTGACCAAGCTCACATAAAGCAATTTAGATGTTAGTCACTCCACAGGACGATGACAGTGAGACCACAAACGCACTGGCAAATCTATTCACGCACTCAATTATATTCATACATATTGCACATGTTTTTAGTGGTAAGGGAAACCGGAGCTCATGAAGGAAAGACTTATTGTTTTATCTTCTATGGGTCAGAGCTCTTTCTTGTTCTGAACCCTGAACCTTACAATCACACTGTCTACAATCTGTCTGAAAAGTATTTTTTGGCATCACATATATATAATCTTTTACTAAACGGATTTGTAGTGTATTTATGTATTATGTATGTAAGTTAATCACACACATTTCCATATTCCTGCTGGCACAGTTCCAGATCTTCAAGTTTCTTTACAGGTTACATATTGGTGGTGATAAGGTTGTAGTCACAGCTGACCACCATTACTCACAGGCCACATTTTAACAAGACAGGTTGAGTGTGCATTCCCTGAGGACACACCAGCAGTATGCTGTTGTAAATACTCTGCGGGTCTAACCCTGCTTAGCTTTGGAGATCAGATATGAGATCAATCATTGAAAAAATTAAGGCTGAGGTACCTAACTTTCAAAATCTTACCATCAAACTTGGCTCTAAAAAAGTTTGGTTCTAACACTATTTTTTTTTTTTAATAACATGAAAATTTGAAACTTTTACTTGATATTCCAGCTTTAATTGGTCTCTGTCTTGTCATGCTACTACCGCTATCCCTAATCTACCCTTTATCAATGGATTTCATTTTTTGTCTAGACCCTGAGGGGAACCTGGAAATCCAATGTTTGACTCCAGACCCAGCAATGACCGTGATCACCAACGGGAACACCACAGAACACAATGGCACAGGTGAGATAAAACAACTTTTAAATAGTTCAATAATCCTCTTTATACATTCATTCATTTAATAATATCATTTTCTCAGATCACTCTTTAAGCCCATTCGATCCAGAGTTGGACAGTCCAAAGCTTGCAGTGTACTGTAATGTTCAAGAAGAAGAAGAAGAAGAAGAAGCAGAAGAAGATGATGATGATGATGAGGACGATATCTGCATTCAAAAATACATCATATCAGAGAACGGACAAGAGGTACGGCTTTTGCTGACATTACATTGAGAGGCCAAAATGTTTGAACATAAATTTAAAAAAAAAATTGAGCGGCCCAATCATGGACCACAATCTTACTGTTATCCTCAATCCACTGGCATCTTATCTTCAAACTGATACTTACACTAATTACATCCATCTCACCTCATCTCATCTCATATCCAGCAGTTGGGATATGCACAAGTATAATAGCATGATCACACAACTTTTTGTAATGATTCAGATTCAGATTACTTTGTTTACCTCACCAGGGTCAATTCATTTGAGCAGAGCCTAAAGTACGGTGGCTGTGTAGATAGCACTCTCGCCTCTCAGCAAGAAGGTCCTGGGTTCGAATCCCCGTCGGACCAGGGCCTTTCTGAGTGGAGTTTGCATGTTCTCCCCGTGTCTGCGTAGGTTTCCTCTGGGTACTCCGGTTTCCCCTACCACTAAAAATATGTCCAATAGTTCTGGCATGCGCCTCCTGTACTGGCCCCGCTCCCATCTCTGTGTGGAGTGAGAGACAAATGCCCAAAGTTAACAATTGTAAACCGCTTTGAGACTCAGATCTGCAGTGAAAAGGCGGTATATAAATAAAGATTACTTACTACTTACTACTAAAGTAATAACAATAATAATAATAATAATAAAACAAAATACACACAGTAAATGTCAAACAATAACATACACAATATGAAGAGGGGCCCTTACAAACAGCACCTATTTGAGGAAGCCCTGTTCAGTAGTTTGCACTGCATTCTAGAATTCTAAAATGTTACTATTTCAGAAGATGGACTGGAAGATGAAATAGTTTGACCTGTTTTTGAAAGAAATATTCAAATTAATCATTGATACGACCGTGTCTTATATTTATTATGGATTGGTCTCATATTCATCCTATAGTTCAAAGATTTGCATGCAGGGTGGCTCAGCGAGTATAGCACTCATGCCTCACAGTAAGAAGGTTGTGGGTTTCTCCCTGTGTCAGTAAGTAAGTAAGTAATGACTATTTATATAGCGCATTTTACAGACCAAAGTCACCCAAAGCACTTTACAATGTTCAGAAATCAGATTCTTTTCCATTCACACACAGTGATGAAGGGAAGCGAGACAGCGAGCACACTGGCGCATCAAAACAACAACCAACTCCCTCATTATATTCATACCTATTGTACATTTTTTTAGTGGTAGGGGAAACCGGAGCACCTGGTGGAAACCGGAGCCGGCACAGGGAGAACATGTAAACTCCACTCCAAAAGGCCCTGTTCCGACCGGTATCCGAACCTTCTTGCTGAGAAGCGAGAGTGCTGTCCACTCAGCCACCGTGCCGCCCATGTCTGGGTGGGTTTTCTCCAGGCGCTCCAGTTTCCCAAGTCATGCACCATCAGTAAAACAAACGAGAAAGAAAGGATTCAGAGGGAGGTGGTTTGACCAGTTCAAGAGACTGGAGTGCTTTCTATTCTTGATGATGCAAATTGTCTATGAAGAAACTGAAGATAATGTTCTTTTCCTCCTCCATTATTTCCACAGGTTTTAGTGGAGCCACAAATGTCTGTTCGAGCTTTGTATGACTATGAAGCAGGTAAGCAGCTGTAATTTCAGAGCATGATTGTGAAGAGCGCTGATGCCTTAAGTGCACTTCTACGTACATGGAGGTATGGTTAGCCGGTCTTCACCATGCTATTTTGTGGTCTTTTCTACAGAGGATGAATCCGAGCTCTCCTTTGAGCTGGGTGACATCATTAGGGACGTGGAAGCTGTGGACAAAGGCTGGTGGAGAGGTTGGAGCCAAGATGGCCGACAAGGCTTGTTCCCAGCCAATTATGTTGAGACCATTTCACCACAGTGATTTTGAGACACGCCCGTATATGGACGCTCAGGAAATTGCTCTTGTACCTTTACTCCCTCACGAGAACTACTTTCTGTCATGTGAAACTTTCAATACTATTTTAACTTAGCATGAAGCCAGCCTCATTTGTTTGGTATAAAACATTTTCCTTTTGAACCAAAATAACTTATTGTTGCGATACACTCAAAATGATAGAGGGGAGGAACAAACGGGTGACAAATGATCACAAACTTGTTTTTCCCATAACTATCTCTTGACATAACAAGCATTATTTCCTGCTCTCAGTTTGTTGTGTGTGTTTTATATATAAATTACTGCTCTCTGCTGGTATACCTAATCACATATTGAATGGCATTACCCTGAGATATGTTTTAGAACTATATTTGTTTACCACATTTTAATTTACCCACAAGATCACGTAACAAAGCACTGTGTTATATATGCCTGTCTCTTTCGTATGGAGTGTCTTTTGATAATACACTTTCATTTGTCCCTCTCTGTGTATTCAAAGCAATCACTAAGCTCTGTATTGTCATATTAAACTACACACTGTATATAAGAATGTATAGAAACACAAAGCTTACTTATGTTATTCCATTCTTGAATGTCTTTCCTTATCTGCAAATGTACTGCACCTGAAAATTCGTTTATTAAAAGTTTGTCAACTCTATGATGTATTATTCAGCCAATATTAGTTTACGGCTGCTGTGGAAGGAGGACGGATTGGCTGATTGGCAGCAAAACTAAGGAAAAGACATGGATGCCTATTTTTAAAATTGTACTTTTGAATAGATTTCCCCTCATGGTAAAGCATCGAACTTATGCTTAATAATCACTTCTCGGTGACGCTAGTACTGTCATTAATATGTGTTGTGGCCTTTTGTGGAAATATTTTGACCAAAAAATACAAAGTAAAAACACACATTTCAGACATTAATTGGGCTAAATATATATGTCTCCTTGTAATTACATTGTAATGCATTGTCCCTTGTTTACTTTGTGGTAACATACTTCTACCACTATCATACAATACAATACAGTACAATTATAAATCAGATTTTGCCAAACTAGAGAAAACTACACAACATATTCAGGAATATTACAAATGTAACAAATGTGTGATTAAAGTGATTCAAGTAGCCTCTGTCAAGTGGCAGCATGTCATAACCCAAGAAATGTCCGAATTGATATGAGAAATTGATCGCACACACACGCACACAATATTTATATAAATATAAAACACGGTCTTACATGGTCTGTCAGTTGCAGTTCTCCGTGCGTACCCACAGGTGGCGACATTGCCTTTACTCACACCAGCCTATGCGCCTTTCATGGGACAAACGACAAGATATTTTGACAGGCACAGAGAAGGTGTATTGTTGGGATATCCAGGTTTTACCAAGGCTAAAAATTGCTAATGCTGCTACACCTCAAACAAGATTTTCTTCCAGAAAAATAATGATTGATTAAATATGACATTAATATTTCTTAAGCATACACCTTTAGTATTTTGGGCGATGCTTTGGTGGTGCCAGTTCAGTTAGGCTGTTTGGCAGCTGGAATGGAGAAGTATAAGGTTTGACGTGGGTTAGATCTGAGCTGAACTGATGCATGTTGACACACTCTCTGAATCTATCCAGGAGAAGCTTGTGCCCATGTTATTCCAGAAGGTTAATCGCCGGTGATATGTGTGAAAAGGTGATGAGCCTTTTATAAAACAGTAATTGCAATGAGGGCAGAAAACCGTGAAAAAGGCTTAAAAGTGCTTGTGTGTTTCAAGGGGGATTTAGATTAATTCTAAAATAGAAAAGGAGTAAGTTTTGGATGTAAAGTGAGGACTGAGGTAGGCATCTGTTCGGGCAAAGTCTGAAGTCAAATTGGTTTCGACACTTATGCCCCTTGTACCCAAAATGCCAAAGTGCTGTTCCCATGGTCATCCCCACAGCACCTGGGGTAACGTGTCCTCTTGGATTAGGAAGAGTGATAGGGAGATAATGTGTCAGTCAACCTCACAGTCACTATCTGCAGGCGGTACCTCAAAACTAACTTTCTTTTCTTTTCATGAATAATATATCACATACAGAAAGTACAATATTCTGGGGAAGAAAATAAGACTACAACAAGCTGTCTTCATCTTATTTGAAAATATTTAAGTTTTTGTAAGAAAGCGCCCTGTGAGTCACTATTTGGCAGTTGGGGCTGAATGCCTGTGCAAGATTTATGATTTTCTGTTTATAAAAGCTGTGAAGGCCAAAAAGAGTGAGGAACTAGTTAGATGGAGCTCATTATACACTACTTTAAATTGGTTGTGGTTTGGAAGTTAGGTACCCCAGATTTACATGATTTATAAGTATACATTCATAATATACTTATTATTGTACTCTGACCTAAGGGTTTTTACTCAAGAAAGTGTTAAAAAAAGAGTCAGATTTAAAGCTATGTGAATATGACAGAAATGTATGCTGTAGGCATTGCATTAATTGGTATTATTTATTATTTTGCATATTAGATACATTGAGAAGGAAGTGCTATTATAAAGGCTGCTTAAGCATACATATCAAAACAATCATTATTTGTCAAAAGCTGTTTCCAAAGTTTTCAATTTTAATAAGCAACTAGAAATAGATTTAAGAGTGTTTTATTGCCAGGTTTGTCAGAACATCCCATTTGATAAACAAAAATATCAAAAAAGCAATTTATTAATAAAAGGGATTAGATAACCAAGGCAACTTAGAACATAAAAGCATTAGTTCTTGTTATTTGAGCAATCTTAGTATGACCATGTCACATACAGTATATACATATACACAGAATAATGATTGGACTTGTAAACTCCTGCCCCTTTAATCATCCATTTTTAAGTAAAATGTATTATCACTTTTATACATTCTCACGGCTGAGTGGATTTTGAGTTGATTTCAATGAATCAATCAAGTTTATATATAAAGCACAATTCATGCAATGCAATTCAAAGTGCTAAAGATTAAACAATAATAAAATAATAACAACCCAAGATGCCAGAATTAAAACTCACTCAAAATATAAAACTCAGTCATGCGCACATCTAAATTAACGTTTTTCCGCCTGGACTTAAACAATGCCAGAGATGAAGCCTCCCCATGTCTAGTCCTGACTCTGAGCACCAGCAGGAGGCCAGTCCCTGTGCTCCTCAGAATCCGAGCTGGCTCATATGGCACTAATATTTCATGTAGTCAAAAGGAAACTAGCTTGAAAAATATTTGCAATGATTGATTTGTTTATGCGTAATACTGCTCTCTCTCCCATTCTACTGTATCTAACTGTATATGACCAGTATTTCTTTATCCATCCTCAGCTATCTCCTTTCTACTGACAGCCTATCTGAGTGACAAGTGTGGGATAGCCGAGGTGAAGTGGTGCTGGGGAAGTGCCACTCATTGTATGTAGTGTTATCTGCACCAGGGCCAAATGACACTAACCTAATCTGACCTGGCTGCTCCAAGCCCTGGGCCCAGTGCTGTGTTTCCCTTCTGGAGCCTGTAGGATCAGTGGAGAAGACGCATGCACACACACACACACTCACACACACACACACTCAAACACACACACGCACGCACGCACACACACACACACACACACTCAAACACACGCACACACACATATGCGCACACACGGCTCATGCACTCACACTATTCTTAGCCTGCGTTTGTGAATCAACCTTTTTCTCCTTGCCACTTCTCAACCCCTGCTTGTCATCTTCTAACTAATAGTTTGCCTCAACTTTTTGTGATTAATTACATGTTTGGGAGAGGTGTCAGTTTTTACAGGGCCGACAAAATTCTTTCTCAGCATTCTTGTATAACCCTGACTTATCTCGGCAAGCTTGCTAGCACCTGTGGGCAAGTTTGGGTGGATATGTGTTTCGTTTTCTTTCTTGGCACTTGGCAAAAGGGAAGGAGACATGTGAAGGGAGCCAGTGAGGAAGGTTGTGAGTCTCTCTTTGGGGCTTGATGTTGTCTAAAACACTTCTTTTTATGCCCCAACTCTGTGATCTCCACCTCAACATTTTACAGTATCCACGGCGGTATCGCCTTATGATGATTTAGCAGCAGGCATGCATCATTGTTCCTAAAATAGCTCAAAAGCACCTGTCTTTCCCTTAAATAAAAGCTTTTTGTTAACATCTGCACATTACGGAGGACCCACACTGGGAAAAAAATCTCTTTCAACTTGATAATTCTGACAGTGCTGCTGTCTGTGGGATTGTTTTTAATCGGATAAATCATGAAGTGATGGCGCTACAGTGTAAACTGTGTATCAAAACAAGAATCTCATTTCCACATTGTGTTCAGTGCTTGGAGACAAATCAGCTTTAGATAAGTTATAATTCCATCTGCTGTAAGTCATGGTTTAACCATTGCTTTTAGACATGTCTCTCCTTCCTGACATTGTCCTATCCACTTTTCTCTCTCTTTAAAGATTATCTTCAAAACCACTACAGTAGATAAAGCCTTAGAAGATCATGATGATGCGAGCCAAGATTTCACTGTCAGCATCGAAAGAACCTATTAACTTCTATGGGCCTCGTTGGCAAAGATCCTACTCCTCTGCAGCGTCTCTTGGCCAGAAACAATGAGCAAAGGATTAGAACATCTCTCTGTCTTAAAGCAGAAAGTAACGAACAAATCTGTTTGCAGTCATTGGTGGAAACGCTTGGCAGAGTTTTCTCCTTGGGATTTTTCCTGTCATGATTCCCAAGAGGCTTTTTGCTTTTACCAAACAAATTCTCTGCTTGCGATCGGCTAACATGTGGCATTGTGATCCGATCACAGGGATGCTTCTCTTTTTCGAGCTGGTGAATGGTGAAATCTTTGGTTCTATTGTGAGGGAATCTTCAAAGTGCTGGGAAATCACTGGGGGGAAGTGTAGTTGGTAATTAATGCAACAGACTTGCTCTAAAATGCTTTATTTTTCTGATTGCAAAGATGAAAACAAAAAATGCATACTTTAATTCTTGTTTG